TTTTTTTTTCTCAGGATGCGTAGCTGAGTACTTCAAAGAAAATGGGAAGATTAAGGAGGATGATGAGGATCATAGCAAGAAAATCCAAGGCTATAAATGTGTGCTTAATTCTAAGGCATCAGAAGAATCTCTGGTAGAGTCATATAATTAAACAATGATTAATAATGAATTGATTAATTAATTTCTTTTTCTCTGGTAGATTCAGTATATAATGTGTTTTCTTCTTGAGGTACAGGCCAATTTTGTGGGATGGGAACCTGCACATGGCAGCTTCTGTTTCGGATATCCATGGTAACAATACCTCAAGAGTCAAGATCGGTGCTTCAGTGCGAAACTGTGCTTACTGCATTGAGACTCTAAATGCTTGTTTAAGCTCTGAAATTCAGGTGATTAATTTATTAGTTAATTTTTTTTGGTATTTACAAGATTTTTTGAATCAATTTTTATACAACTCGAAATTATTTTATTCCCAAACAATTTAAAAAACGCACCTTCTATATCAGTTTGGTGCGTAAAAACAATTAATTTCTTATATAAAGCTGTTTAAGTTCTTATATATTTTAATTTCTTTAGCTATGGAACGAATGTGCAGGCGCCTACATGCATAAAAAGCCACCTCAGTGATGTGTCCATGAGACTTTGCTCTTATTCTGCCCATGTGTTAACCGAGTTGGCTACAATGATCAAAACAATGACAAAGTCCTCAACCTTAGACGTCTTAGTTGCAGTACAAGAACTCCAAGACGCCTTGAAGTCCCATACAAACCCCTATATGGCACCTGAGTTGTTAACTGCAGAAGGGCCTGGTGATGCTAGCGGAGAACCGATCACAAAATCTGGCACACCACTTCTCCTGGAGATTATTCCACTGGTCACCACGGTGTCTTTGCTGATAGAAATTGCATTGAGAATAGGTGGTGTTGTGGATGCGGTGGAAGAACTAACATGCCTTACGGCATTCAAAGCCTGCAGCAGATCGCATGGAAAAACCAAAGAAAACCAAACCATACTGCAATGAATCCAACACATCCCCTCACACACCGTGTACCGTATAAAGCTTTGATTTTAATACAATATCATGTATGAAGTAAATTTTGTCATGCATGAAGCTGTTACTGGGGGTGAGATATCTTGATGACGATGCCTAAACAAGGACATTGAAAGGAGAAGTAGAGCAATCGGCTAAGGAAATGGTATTGTTTAGCTTCATCATGCATTGCATTACACCATGCAGAGCACTAAGTTCATGCGCTCTATACGGTATGCAAATCATTGTTAAATATGTTGCATCAGCAACACCATACTTTCTTGCTGCTTTACACGTACAGCAGTGCTACACCGTATATAAAAGTTCTGCTGATGAAATTTCCAGAAATTGATTGATATATTACATAATAACAGACAAGCCAATGCCACGGTAAAGGTTCAATCTGAAATACACAACTTCAACAGCTGGAAAGCAGTTCTAGAAAAGCTTATTATAGGCGGGTAATGAAATCACAAGTTCACAAGAAATGCTTATTGACTTGATAAATGATCTATGTAATCTACTTTCCAACAGAAGAACGAAATCCACATCACCTCATCACAATTTGTCTGTTAGAAGCTTCAGCCTCATTCTCCTCTGGTGCTTCCAGAAGATGACCTGCCCAGCCGAGGTTCACAGCCAAGTCTTCCACTGGTACCTTTTGTACATCACTCCTAACACCTATGTCAGTTGCATATCTGCTCATGCAGTACATTCCTGCAGTGACTGTTGCCACACCCACTGGGCTTGGCATCAACAACTTTAATGGGGAAGAAAGAAGGGCAGCCAAGGGAGCGCCAATTACAGAGGAAGCTTGGCCACTCCTTCCAACTCCTTGTTTGTCAACTATTAGAAGGCCAGTTTTGCAGTATAGTGCAAAATCTTCACAGTTGTTCTGAAATATGTCATAATTGCCAAATCCATTTTGGAGAAGATACATTGCCCGGTGGATAACTGTTTCTGGCAGATCAGATGCTGCTGTGGTGCATGTGCCTCCACGTACTTTGGCAAGAAATACAGATGGGGTCACCCCATATTCAAAGCAGTAAAGGGATCCATTTCTAAGGAAGCAATCCAAGCATGAAAGCACTACCCCACTGTTTGATGGCTGGAATCCACAGTCAGGAAATATTGGACAAGATGATGGGAGGCTTGGTACTGAATCATATTTGTCAGAAGATGACTCCCTGCTGGAATCTAAGTTTGGCACATATTTGTCAGAAGGTGACTTACTGCTGGAATCCAAGCTTGGCTTTGGTCTAAAATGAACCACCTTGCTTCCCCCAACGAAGATACCTGTATGATTGAAAATTCAACGAGGTCCCTGATAAAGCTTGATCCAATTCACAATCACATGTCATGTGTTCAAGAAAATAAAATGAAATCAATCCCTATATATATGATAACCTAAACAATCTTTGCAGACACTTTTAGTTTAGATAACTTGAATAATATCACACTAAAACATAATCAAAAGATTTGATGCATTGTCAGGGCACAATGAAACTGAACACTAAGAGCCTTGGATTTGTGCTTACCTTTTTCGTTTCCTTATTCCTTTCACTCTGAAGGAACACTAAAATTCAAATAGCAACATGCGAACGCTAAAACTTTATCTAAAGTTATGAACAGATAAAGGAACTTTTCATATTATATGAGATAAAAGAGATGACAATTGTGAAACAGCCTTCAAAATAAGTTTCTAGTTAAATAGAAACAAAATCCCCCACAAGTATATATGAACAAGAAACATATGCAACATAAACATGAAATACAAGAACCATTTAGTAATTAAGAAATCTGCTATTATTGGGGAAAAGCTACAAAATGTTGATACCAGGAATGGGTTGAAATGTATCTTGTACCATGGCCCCCTGAAGGCAGAGTTAGTAATACCACTGGGCCATTTCTAAACTAACAAGTAATAAAGATCAGTGGACTCCAAACTGACATCCAGATTTCAGTTGAGAGATACCAAAGAAGACTATTCCATAGTCAGAAGTGATTATATCAGCAACGAAACTACCGATAAGAAGGGTAAAGTGAAGATGATAAGAAGGGTAAAGTGAAGATCCTACATTCCTTGAATAGCTATACTAGTTGGGATTTTTATCCTTGGAAAAATGAAAAAGTTTTTAAGAACATTTTGAAGCTAATGGTTTTAGCGTCTCCATAACCACTGGACACCTTTAGCAAAGAAACTGAGTTCATAACACTCAAGATCAATGCTTTTGACGATCCCAAGCACCACCATCAAAGACCAGACTTGCCCACTGGACACCTTACTCTATATCTTTGCAACCAAATGTAGAATTACCATAAAAAACTAGACCATCAACTTTAGTTGTTATCAGCAAAGGAAATTTAATTTTAAACACCAAATAGAATCAACCAATTCCCTAAAGTCTGCAGAGCTGCAATTTGCAAGGAAAAAAAGCCAATTTCGGAATGAACATCACAACTCAAACAAGAACAAAAACACCCAAAAACAGGATCTACACAAAAGAACTAAAAACAAGTAATTGGAATCAAACCCAGGAACGTCATTACAAATCCCCACGAATTCTATAGAAAGAAAGATAATTTCTTGGTCAAAACACAGAAAGTTATAGCAAACCAGAGGGAGTAAAGCGCAGGAACAGAGAGATACCATGGTGAGAATAGGTGAAGACAGCTCTGTAAGTGTAAATGTGATCTCCTGGTTTGATCTCATCTCTCTCTACTCTATTCGTAAGCAGACCCATCTCCCTCCCCTCTCCTCCCTCAGCCTTCTCCGACAATGCAGCTCCGCTTTGCTTTGGTAAAGCAGATGCAAAACCCACTTAATCTAAAGTAGGCCCCACCATGATTAAGACTCTGCTGGTCGCGTCGTGACAAGATCTTAGTGGTTCGCCTTCCGCTCGTCCGTTCAACAACTGTTACCACCGACTCCTTCGTTTTTTTTGGATTTATATGTTTTTCAAACTGGTAACGATCATGGCGAAAAATAGTGATGCCGATGATGATGATGATGATGATGATAATGGGGTTCAGATTTTCTCTCCATAACCATTGACTTGGAGGGTAGGATTGGCATTTTGATTAACCCACCTGCCCAAGTCAAGGTTGTTTGACGGCAAGGCTACCACATTAACCATTGCCGTTTTCCACGAGGAAAAGGTAAGGAACAAAAGTTGGTTCCTTGCCCCCTTGACAAGCTAGTATTCTCCTCGTGATTATGATACTTTGTATAATTTTTAAATATATATATATATAATATACAACAACTCTTAATTTGAGTGAAAAAAAGCAACTGATTACTCGGGTCAATCAGTAATCTATCAGTTTAAGATCATTTCCTTTTTTTTATGGATAGGATTCGAATCGATTTCTTGATAATTTATTTAAAAAAAAACTTAAATGAAAGAAATTTATATTTTTTCAGTCTTTTAAAGTGTTTTTTTAATGAAATTTAATATAATTTTTAAATATTAAAAAATTAATAAAATATATATATATCAAAAATATAAAAATCAAAATGTTCTAACATTTAGTTCATCTGTTCAATAAATTCTACTATGAAACCCAGTCAACAAATAACTGTAATTAACGTCTTAAACAGCAAAACTTCTTGATTTTTGGTACTCCCTGTATATATACAACATTATGAATCTTATATAATAGTATGACGTTCTGCTGTACATAATTATTAGAACATTTGCACTTGGTCAGGTCCAGCTGCGTCGGTAGGCCACGTATAAGTGTATTCCCTACCCCAAAGCAACGGTTCGAATTCAGTCCTTGCAAATTTATTCAAAAAAAAAAATTATTAGAACATTTATATGGAAGAATCAAGCTATGTTTGCATTTAATTTGCAATGAAGATGTTCCAATTGTAGACTTTCACGTGAAATTCTGAATCTTTTTCTAACATGTTTCTTAAGACTTTTGCGCACGTTGGGTTTTTGGCAAGAAATAGTGCGAAGCCACCGCCACCAGCTCCGACGACCTTGTAGCCGGAACAGTAATGGGAAGCGGCTTGCGAAGAGCTTGTCGACAAATTGGTTGCTGCAGTGAGGGTCGAGTTCTTGGTGCAATCTCCAAGCCTCCAACATGATCTCCCCCACCTCATCCACGTCACAGTTCATCAAAGCTTCCCTACCGATTTTTGCTAGTTCGGCCAGCCGCTTGATGCTGGAGATGAGGAAGTTGTCCCGCCGGAGGTATTGGATAACCACCTTTTGTAGTACCTGATGCGCAAGTCGAACCTGCGGAGCAATGTATGCAACTTTTTACTCACCAATCTCGAAGCTTAAAAATTGGAAGTGGAACAGTGAAAATGGGAGGTCAAAGGTACTTACTTGACCAATAAACACCACCAGCCGTTGGTGCAGCTCTGAGATTAACTGAGGCAATGCCAAGAGAGGAATGACTTGTAGCCGCAATGGTATTCCAGGATAACTTGCAGTGAATTTTAATCCCAGGGCATGGTCCTCCAATTTGATCCTGCCATCCACCTCCTGTTCCCATGAGCAGCTGTAATACCTGAACAAGTCTGGCTACATTTTCATTGCTTTTGTTTCCGTCAGTAACCTGGAGAAGTGCCTTCACTACGGCAGCTGCTAGGATGCTGGATGTTCCCAAGCCACTGCCTCGAGGGACATTGGCCCATGTCTTTAGTTTCAAGCCTGTTGATTCCAGAACCTTTCCGTGAATAGTTTCAGTCACGAGCAGAGCAGATTTGACAAGCCTGAATGGATCGTTGCTGTCAAAGGGAGGAGCAATCGATGAAGGATCTCCAACATGTAGCTCATTTCCAGAATCATCACTAATCAGTACTCCACTTGTTTGGGTTGTCTCTATGATGGTGCCAATTGGAGGAGAGCCTTCCAAGCTTACTGCCATATTTAGAACACACCCAGCACGCTCTAAGCTCCATGGAGGAGTATCACTCCAGCCACCAACAAAATCTACCTGAACTGGTAATTCATCCTTCACTCTTGTTGGGCAGAATCGTTGATCCACATTGCCATCAAGTTTTGGGTTCTCAGAAAAAGTAGAGTTGCTTGAGGAGTCCAAGAGATGTTCTACAAAATAAAAGGTAGAATTAGTTAAACAATAAGAAAAAACAATGAAAGTCAATATAAGAATTTTCAGAAATTGACTAAGTTGAATATGGAAACAAAGAATTAGAAGCACAGAAAGGTAACATACAGACAGTTACATTTTAAGTAATTTTTGTGAGTGCCAGCTAATTACAGATATTCTTAAATACATCCATTGAATCATACCTTTAAAACCATACCTAACTGCAGATGCAGTTTCATCAGCAACTGCAGCCCAAACTTTGTGCTCTAATTTCGAAGCTTCTGTTTCATCTCTGCTAGCTTGAAGGAGATCAACTTGCACCTGATATGCACGGGCTTTGGGAAGAATCTTGGAGTTCTGCTCCATAAGTTTGGAACAAAGGTCAAGGAAGTCCTTACATGTTTTGACTCCAGAGTGTTCTTTTTGAAGAATTTCTTCACACAACTGTGACAACCTGCGTCCAAGCATACTATAATTGATACAGGCTTTGGCAATTCCAGCAGCAAGATCTGCTTGATGATTACTGGACCCAGTGTACATCTGTGAAAAGTCAATTGACTGATGCAACTCCTCCAAACTGATGCATTGTGAGCTTCTCCACAAGGGAAGAAAATATTTGTTTTATTGTTCACTCAAGCCCATTAACTACATTCCCACACTAAGCATTTCAAAATAAGATAGGATGAGGAATAGTTTTGAGTAAATTTTTGGGATTATCAAGGAGACCACAGAAAACTAGTACCTTGTCAGAGCTTCCTACCAGTGGAACCTCCCAAAGACAATGGCAGTCAGGAAGGATGAACTCAAATGAATTTTCTGCTGTACTATCATCATCACCTGGAACATTAATACCAACAACAATTGATTGGGAACCAATCTGTATTCCACCTGATATGCATGAATCATATACCAGAGAATCTTCACCAATTGAGACACCAGGTTCTATTTTGCTGGAAAGGACCGCAGCAGATGCTGCAATATCTGACACAATGGTTGCTGGAATTGAACACAAGTGTCTTCAACCTACAAGTGCTGAATCAGCTCCACTAAGGTGATCCAAAACTTCACTTGAGGTTCCAAAATGTAAAAACAAAAAATCGTCTGCATTGAAATAATTGAACAAAAAGGCCATGTAAATAAACAAAACCCCAGAGATGATAACAAGGAAAGGAAAGTGGAAGGTTTTTAATACTTAATACAAAGTTTAACATACAGGCACAATAACTGAACATCTTTTGTTTTCCCAATTTGCTGATAAGTGCTTCTCCCATGGGCATTGTCTTAACCAACCATGTTTGGCAGGTACCCAAGCCGCCACCAGATCCTCATACAAACTCATCTGCACAAGACTAAAACTCTAAGCAGTTAATAGATTTCAGGAAAGCACGAACCATCAATGTAGGTGCCAAATTCCATGGAAATCTTTTCTTTACAAAATATGAGCAGTTTCGAGTTAGCACTGATCAGATTTCAACAATAATAACCACAAAAAATAAAGTTTCAAATAAGGGAATAACAAGAGCTGAGAAGAGGAAAAATAATAATAATACTAAGGGTTGAAAAAGGTTTTTTGTTCATAGATATATAGCATATGGAAGAGGATGGAAACAGGTCTTAGAGAACAGTACAAATCACAAATACTTATCTAAATGGAAGCAAAAATAATCACAAGGCCAGGATTGAGGCAACAAAGATGAGGATAAAAAGGTAAATGATGAGAATTTATCATCTTGCCTCTTTTCTGCTCTTAAGAAGCTCTGAAATCAATGGTGGGCAACAAGATGCAAGCACAACAAGCTCAAACCATGCTTTTCCCCTAGCTGTTATTATTCCTGTGTCAAGCAACGCTCTACCATCATCTAGCATGGCATGACTCTTAGGCAAGCTCTTCTACACTAGGTTCCTGTAGGAGATTGTCAACTAAACTGAGCATGTAACTTTCTTCCATGACTCCAGTATTGGATGCCACAACAACACCATGGTTTGCAGCAACATCAAGAGTGATGGGCACAGTGACTATGCAGGATGCATCCTGTGGAAGAATCATGGTTGAGGCATCAA